TCTCCTGTAATGGCTTCCTGATCTCCCCTGGAGAAGGATGAGGGGTGTCAAGGGAGGGAAGAGGTCCAGAAGAAAGATGGGAGAGGGGCCTCAGTCAGCTCCATTTGTAATAAAGCCTTAGAGCTCTGAAAAAATAGGAAGAAAGAAAAGAAAAAGAAGAAAGAAAGTGCTCCTTTCACCACGGAATAGAAGTCTGTGGTGTACATGTACCCGTTTATTCAAGCAGCCACCTGTTGAACTGGATTCTCTCTAGGTGGGGCAATTACGAATAAAGCTGCTGAATACCCACGCACAGGTTTTTGTGTGAATGTAAGTGCATTTCTTTGGGATAAGTAGGTCCCAGGAGTGCAACTGCGGGACACTGGCAACTGCATGTTTAGTTGTATAGACCGCTGTACCCTTTTACCTTCCCGTTAACAACGTAGAAGTGATTCAGTTCTTCTGCATCTTTGTCAGCATTTAGTGCCATTATGTTTTTTATCTTAGTTTTTCTGATAAATGTGTCGGATAGCCCTTTTGTGGTTTTATTTGCATTTCCCTGTTGGTAAATGAAGTTAAACAACTTTGCATGTGGTTGTTGGCTTTTTGTATGTTTCCTTTCCATTCAGAACCTTTTTTAAAAAAGGTGTTTAATTTTATTTGTTGTTATTATTCTTCAATTTGACCAGAGAGAGACAGGGCGAGGAGACAGAGGGAAAGTGAGAAAGACTTAAACTGTGGTCGACCACGTGGGAGTTCAGTGCCTTAACCATCATGCCACCTGCTGGCCCCTCTTTGTCCACTTTTTAATGGGATTTTTGTCTTTTTATTATTGAATTTTAAGAGTTCTTTTTACAAAGGATCTTTATAAAGTTCATGGAAAATGTGTATTATTAGAAAACTGCCTGGGGACCAGCAGTTAGCATAATGGCTATGTCTCTGGACTCCCATGTAGTTGACCGCGGTTCAAGTCCCAGACCTGGTGGCTTAAAACTCACGCTGGGAACGTGTGCGTGCGTGCCCAAGATCCCGAGAGGAGAATGGAAGAGAATGGATTGTGGCGTGGCCATCCTCCCTGGGGGGTGATTTCTCGCTTTCTGTCTCTCTGTCTCTCTGGTGCGCATACGTGCCCTATAGAAAAACCTCCCCCCACCCCCCACCCCCCCAAAAAAAGAAAAGAAAAGAAAGTTCCAGAGAAACAAAAGTTGTTTCAGGAGGAGAACAGAATTCCTGTGCATCTTAAGGGTGGAGTAGCCGATGCCCTCCTGTATAGAGCCGCCATGGTTCTTAACGTTGGTGGAGCAGCATATGCCGTTTATCAGCCGGCTATCGCTATTGCTTCATTTCCCAAAAATCAGGAATGACTTTGGACATCCCAGCAGTCCCAGCTCTCTAAGAATCAGTACTATGATAAATAACTGAGCTCTTCTCTGGGGATCAATATTTATTGACTTGTACTAACTGCCATCAATAAAGCAGTCTTTATCATGGTGTGGGGGGAGGGGGGGCGGAATGCCTGGATCTCAAAATCTGTTTGCACCAAAATAAATTTGTACTTTAATCCCATTTTTTTTTCATGGACTGTTTGAAGTCCCCTTGTATGTTTTAGATACATAGCCTTCATTAGATACATGATTTGCAAACGTCTTCTCTCATTCTGTAGGTTGCTGTTTCACTTTCTTGTTGGTGTTCTGGAAGCACAGAAGTTTTTGATTTTTATGAAGTTCAGTCTCCTTTGAATTTTGTGGCTCGTGCTTTCGGTGTCGTGTCTGAAAAAAACATTGCTTAATCTAAGGTCACATACTCCTATGCTTTCTCCTAACGCTTCGGTATGTTTAGCTCTTTCACTTAAGCCTTTTATCCATTTTGAGTTCATCTTTATATTTGGCGTGGAAAAGGGGTCCAGCTTTGTTCTTTTGTATGTGGCTATCCAGTTGTGCTAGCACCATTTGTTGAAAAGACCATTCTTTCCCCATTGAATTGTCTTTGTACTCTTGTCAAAAATCCACGGACTGTCTGGCTCAGCCACAGTGACACAATAGGAGGGTGCTACTAGAGCCACAGGGGAGGTTCAGGTTCAGATTCTGAGTTGATCTGAACACTCATCAGGGTCTCACCCAAACATGCCCACGACCCTGGCTGGCTGGGAGGTTGGGTGGAGGATCATGGTGTGGTGAGACCTTGATGAAGGTACTCCTCTCTCTTTCTCTTAAAAGTAATAAAGAGGGGCTGGCAGGTGGTGTGGTGGTTAAGGATGCTGGACTCCCACATGGCTGACCGCGGTTTGAGTCCCAGACCTGGCAGCTTACTTTCTCACTTTCCCTCTCTCCCTCTCTCTCTCTCTCTGTCCTTCTCTGGTCAAATAAAATAAATAAATAAATAAATAAATAAATAATAGATAAATAAAGTTGAATAAAATAATTTTTAAAAAAGTAATAAAGGAACGTAAAAAAATAAAAGGCCCAATCATAGGTAGTGCCACTTTTGAGAATCTGGAAACCACTTGCGAAGCATGGGTTCGGTTTCTAGGCTAACTGAGCCTGAGCATGGTTGTGCAGACCTGTGGTTCTGGCTAATTGGGAGGCTGGGGTAGGAGGATAACAACAAAGCATTACACTATGTAGAAAATGCCTACCTGTCTCTCTCTGTTCCCCTCTCATTCTGCTTCTCAAAAGGAAGGAAAGAAGGAAGGAAGGAAAAGAAAGAAGAAAGGAAGAGAGAAAGAGAAAAAAAGAAACTCAATTGACTATGTGGGAGTTTTTTTCTGGACCTTAGTTCTATTCCATTTGTCCATATGCATAAACTCTTGCACCAATCTGTACTAATAAATGTAGCTTTTTACTAAGTTTTAAAATGGGGAGTTGTGAGTCCTCTAACTTTGTTCTTTTTCTAGATTGTTTTTGTTATTCTGGGTCCTTTGCTCTTCCATATGGTTTTAAAGATTAGTTTGTCAATTTCTGCAAAAATTGCCATGGAATTTTATGTTTGATTAGTTTTTTAGATTTTTTTTCCCTCTGCAGGGCACATGTGCTCACCAGAGAGAGACAGAGAGGCAAAGTGAGAAATCATCCCACAAGGGAATGACCACACCACGATCTCTTTTCTTCATTCTCCTCTAGGGTTTTTCGGTATGCACACATATGTGCCTGGTGTGATTTTTCAAGCCGCTGGGCTTAAGCCGTGGTTGATCATGTGAGAATCCAGCTCCTTAACCTCCACGTCACCTGCTGGCCCTTATTGCCTTCTTAAATCAGATCTTTCCATCCATAAACATTGGTATATTTCTGTCTACTTAGGACTTCTAAAATTTCTCTTAATAATGTTTTGTAATTTTCATTGTATTTATCTTGCACTTTTTAATAGAATTTACTCCTAAGTATTTTATTCTTTTTGATACTACTGCACATGAGATTTTTTTAATTTAATTTTTTCTTTGAAATTAACTAATTTATTTAATAATTCTTTTAAAAACTTTTTTTACATTTTCCAACAAGCACTTTACATTTTCCGACTTTACAGATCAAAACATTTTTGCTCATACTCCATGGTTATTGACAGTTAATAAACAACTTTCAAAATTAAAAAAACCCTAAATTTTTAAAGATAACTTTCAAAATGTTTGCTACAATTGTGTTTGTGACTCTATAACAACAGAGACAGTATGGTCTCAACTATTTTTGAGAAAATATTTACATGTCAGCTACTCAAACTGTTAAAAAGCACACACCAGCACACAAGTCACACATAATCCTTCAGTTCAGCCCCGCCTACCAAGCATTCTGTGATGCACCACCTGCTAGCAAAGGTCAGCCTCTTTTTCTTCCTTCCAAGTCTTCTTCAAGGTAATCCTCTGGCTGTGGCTACTCCTTTGCAGTCTCTGCTGATGACAATGCTGGGCTGGAAAAGTCCAGGTTATTTTATGGTACGAATTTTTTCATATGGCTTCTCTAATCCTCTCTGCCAGGCAGAACTGTTTATGGTGTCAGACAATCTTTCCAAGAGTTTTTATTGGTTTTCTTTCTTTTTATTTTTTTTTCCCTTTTTTGGGAGAGATTTTTGCTATAGGGCGCGTGCGCTCGCCAGACAGACAAAGAGAGACAGAGAGACAGAAAGCGAGAAATCACCCCCCGGGGGGATGGCCACACTGCAATCCCTTCTCCTCCGTTCTCCTCTCAGGATCTTGGGCATGCACACACACATGCCTGGCATGAGTTTAAGCCGCCGGATCCGGGACTTGAACTGTGGTTGACTATGTGGGAGTCCAGTGACATAGCCATTACACTAATTGCTGGTCCCAGAAATCAAGCCACCAGGTCCAGGACTTGAACCGTGGTCGACCAGTAGGAGTGTCCAGCGCCTTAACCACCATGCCACCTGCTGGTCCCCATGTTGGCTTTCTTAAGATCAACCTCAGTTTCATAGTTTTCTGGTCACATCTTCAGATATGACATCCCTGTCAAAGCCCTGGCGATAAGGAATATTTCCAATTTCTTATGCAAGGTAACAGGTAGGATTGAACTTATGCAAATAGCCCTTCTGTCACAAAATAAGAATACTCACAAATATTTTCCAGTTCCAGAGGGGTCAGGAAGGGAGAAAAGTTTATATTTCAATTAAAAAAAAAAAATTTTTTTTTAACACATTGCTGAACCTATCAACAGCTCAAAAGAAAGCAAAATCCTTAAATCTGGAAAACAAAACAAAACAAAATCAGTAATGTTTTAGCTAAAAGTCATAAAATTCGATTTCACCAGTTTAGTCTCATGTAATTAATCTCTCTTCTGTTGAATTTGCAGTGTTACTGTGGTCCAATCTTTGCATTTAAATTCTGGAAGTTAACACTTAACATTATTATTAATCTTTCCGGACTTGTCCCTGGCATTAAGTTGGTCAATTTCTTGGTTACTTTCTGTTCTCTTATTTCTGTCCGTGTGTCTTTATTCTTAATTTAATTTAAAAATTTATTTATTTATTTATTTTAAATACGTCAAATTTTATTCACAAGGTTGTAGCCACATTGAAAAAACATGGAATGCTTCACGAATTTGCGTGTCACCTTTGCTCAGGGGCCACGTTCATCTCTGTATTGTTCCAGTTTTAGTGTATGTGCTACCAAAGCAAGCACCTTCATTTAATTTTTAAGAAGTTTATTTAGTCATTAAGCGTGAGAGACAGATACAGCACCCCAGATGCCGTGATCCACCCCACACGTCAGCCAACCCTATAGCGCCCTATAGCTAAAACCTCCCCCCCAAAAAAAGAACCTTACATTCTTTTAAATAGTCCGTCACTGTTTATGAACTTAGATTTCATGAGTCTGTAGCAATTCTAACAGTTCCAAATCCCTAACACACTGCCCCCATAACATCCTGAATGTGCAGGTTCCTGTGTGCGCGCGTGCCCGAGATCCCAAGAGGAGAGTGGGAGAAGGGATTTCGGTGTGGCCATCCCCCCGGGGGGTGATTTCTCACTTTCTATCTCTCTGTCTCTCTCTGTCTTTCTGGAGAGCGCACATGCCCTATAGTAAAGAACTTCTCAAAAAAAAAAAAAGTTCGTAGTACAGAGATTCTGTCTCTCTCTCTCTTTTTTTTTTTTTTTTTTTGAGAGGTTTTTGCTATAGGGCACATGCGCTCGCCAGACAGACAGAGACAGAGAGATAGAAAGTGAGAAATCACCCCCCAGAGGGGATGGCCACGCCACCATCCCTTCTCCTCCATTTTCCTCTCAGGATCTTGGGCACGCACGCACGTATACACGCCGGGCGTGAATTTAAGCCACGGGGTCCGGGACTCGAACCGCGGTTGCCTACGTGGGAGTACAGCGACATAGCCATTACGCTAACTGCTGGTCCCAGTACAGAGATTCTCAAGTCGGAGGTAGGCCCCGTTGACCCTGTTCTCCTCCTTGAGATATCTTCTCACCTGACCAGGAGACCAGCACACAGATCAGCTGCCCCCGACTAATGCCCCACTGCAACCCCTGCAGAAGGGCCACTGGGATGGCTGACACCACACCAGGCCCTGTCGTCAGCCCCACCCCTGCTGCTGTGAGCTTCTCTGCCTCGTGGTCCTTCCTATGCTTTACCAGCCGACTGCCTGCCCCAACGGGTACACTTCATCCTCTGGAATGGAACGGCAGCTGGGACACTAGGCCGCGTGGCCAGGTGGCTGCCCGCTGCTCATCTTGGTAATGTTCGAGTGTCGGCTCTCTGAAGGGCCCTTGTAAATGCTTCCCCTCCACTTCCACTTGGGGCCAGAGTGCAGTCACCCTAAGAAATGAGACGTCTGCCTCTTCGCCCAGCCTCCAGGCTCCTCTTATTTTATTATTTATTTATTTTTAGAGTTTTTTGCTGTAGGTTGTGTATACTTGCCAGAGAGAGAGAGAGAGAGAGAGAGAGAGAGAGAGAGAGAGAGAGAATGAGAAGGAAAGTGAGAAATCACTCTCCAGGGGATGGCCATGCCACAACCCTTGTCCTCCATCTTCCTCCAGGAATCATGGACATGCACACGCATATACCTGGCGAGAGTTTCAAGCCACCAGGTCTGGTGCTCGAACCGCTATGCCATCTGCTGGCCTCACGCTCCAGGCTCCTGAGAGCAGGAGGGCCCTGGCCAGGCCGGCAACACAGCCGATGTCAGCAGACCCACAGTCTCAGAAGCAAGCCTTTGCACTTCTGCTGAAAGCCAGCATGAGGGCTGATCCCAGAAGGCAGTGCCCGGGAGGCCAAGCCCTTTCCAGGAAACCTCAGCTTCTACCACACGGGTGTCTTCTGAACCCACACCCAGAAGCCCGGCTGCAGAGGGACCCGCAGGTTCGACTGCTGGCTTTCCCTCTCACTGCACAAAAGTGACCCTCCTCAATTTCCTCCTCTGCCCGCTGGAGGAGGTGGTAGTAGCTCAGGAGGGCCTCAGAGGGCATCCCTGCCCACCCCTCAGCGCACAGAGAAGTCATGCGCCAGGCTGGGCTCTGGTGCACCTGGGGCTGCCCCTCCAGCCGCAGAATTCACCAGTGGGTAGATCAGGAAAATTTCTTGGGCCCTCGAGACATAAACATAATACATCCGTATGGGGCGTTGGAGAGTGCGAGGTTGGGAGCCGGGGCAGGTCAGGGCACTACCGGAAGCTTCTACACTGGAGAGCAGCAGCTGATTGAGAAAACAAACCCCAGGGCGTGGTGCATGGTGAGGAAGGTTCTGGACTCTCACATGGCCATGGAGTCTGGGACCCGGAGGCTCGAAAATCCCGCCAGGCGTGTGTGCTCGTGTGCCCAAAATCCCGCGAGGAGAACGGAGGGGAAGGGATTGCAGTGTGGCCCTCCGCCTTGGTGGGGAGATTTCTCTTTTCCCTGCTCTTCAGCGCTGTCTCTCCACAAGCGCACACACCCTATGGCAAAAACCTAAAAACACAAAACAAAAGAAAAACAGGTTGGCTTTACAAGTGAGGATGGTTGTGATTCTCCTCCTGTAAGCCCGAGGTCCCGCCTGCTCACCCATCCTTCCCTCGGGGCTGGGGGACCTGTCGGCATCACCCCAGCTCCCTCCTGGCTTGCTGTCCTGCTCCAGTACACGCTGGCTCACCCCGCTGAGAGCACACCTGCGTGGACGTGGACGTGACCCAGCCAGCAGGAGCAGAGTGCGTGGCCAGGAAGGAACTTGGGCGGAAGCCCCTCCTCCCCTCCCAGGCACGGCAGACCCTTTCCCCAAGGCTGGGGCACAGGGGACAGGAGTCTCCACCAGACACCCGCCCCCTTTCTGACATGACATGTGTTGTCCCTGGGCTTGGTTTCTCCCTGTGCGAGGCAGTAGGCAAAGCTCAGAGCGCAGCCTTCCCTGGCAAGCACCCCGAGCCCGGGCTGGCCGGCCGCAGCGGCCCCAAGCTCTGCTCTGGTCTCCCCGGAGCCGCGCGGCCCTGCGGGCACTGAGCGGAGCCCGCGCGCCCCCTGGCGGAGCCCTCGGGTAACTGCCCGAGCTCTTCGGGGCCGGTTTCTCCTTTTCCCTTACTGAGCGTCTTCAGCCTGAAAAAGAGTCAACCGTTCCGTGCTCTTCACTGTGGTGGGTAGTTTCTTCTCGCTGCTGAGGGAACTTTACCTTGCGGGCTCCTGCCGGGTTCGACGAGGCACGTCCGTAGGGATAACACGTCGCGAGCTCCTAAACCTACTGCCAGCGCGCCGCGCACGTCCCCGGCCGCTGCCCCTTGTCCTCGCTCAGGCTGCCACACGGGGACCCCGGAGACCTGGAGCGTGACCGGCACGCCTACTGCGCCCGTTCTGGCAGCTGAAAGTCCCTGGTCAGTGTGACAGCGAATGGGTTCCTTCGTGGCTTGTCCACAGTCGCCTCCTCTCTGTGTCTTCACGCAGTGGAGAGAGCGCCAGCTATCTGGAATCTCTTCCTTTTCTTTTCTTTTTCTTTTTTTCCGGTTCGAATTTGGAGATGGGGCCCATACGTTTTTGCCTTAGGGAGCATGCACTTGCTGGGGAAAGAGCGAGGGACAGAAACAGTGAGAGGGAAAGTGAGAAATCACCTGCCAGAGGGGATGGCCCCTTCATGCTCCTCCCCAGATCTTGGGAGCGTCTGCATACACAAGGGCCAGCGTTGTTGTAAGCCACCGGGTCCGGGACTTGATCTACAGTCGGCTGTGTGGAAACCCAGTGGTGTAACTGCTATGCTGTCTTCTGGTCCCTCTTCCTTTTCTCATGAGGGCACCAGCCCTATTGGGTTAGGGCCCCACCCTTACAAAAACTCTATCTCCAAGCATGGTCACATGGAGGGCTCGTGCTTCCACATGTGAACTGGGAGACGGGGCCCATGGCACCCACCTCGATGTGATAGCACCTCAGTTACACCTTCAGGGGTGGCACTTGGACATGACTGTCACTCGCTGTATTTGAACCTTGGCATGAATGCACCTGGCGTTACAAACCTTGTCATAATTACACCTTAACCTAACTGCCCCTTCCACCCTCATGTTGGCGTGACTACACCTTGACGTAGTGCTGTAGGGATCCCCGTGCACCCCAACTATGGACAAATGAGCCTTTCAGCAGGGACGTGACTGGCCTGAGTCGGCAAGGCCAGAAGGACCCAGAAGCAGCCTCCTCCTTACTCCCCTTCCCACCTTCCCTGACCCCCAAATTTGGGGCCTGGGTCAGGCAGCCCCAGAGAGAGTCCGTCCCTGTATCCCTTCCTACAGGTGAGAATGAGTCTCTGCCTTGTAAACCCCGTTTCCTTCCCACGCTTCTCTCAGGGCCTCATTTCTGATGCCAGCTGTGTGGGGGTCTCCCCCACCCTAGCCGGTTCTCGGAATACCACCTGGGTGTCCTGCGCATACCCCAGTTCTCACACACCTGCTGGGAGTTAGCATCAGGTCTCTCAGGTTCAGGGTTCCACAAGACCACCCCACTTCAGGTGCCGCTTCCAAGTCCGGATGGTTCCCTGTGGTCTGACCACACACTGGGGGTTCCCGTGACCCCGTCATGTTCCATATTTGCTAGAGAGCTCACAGAACTCAGGAAAAGCGCTACCGTTTATAAGGAAAGATGTCACCCAGGAGCAGCCTGGGAGAGGTGCACTGGGGAGGTGGGGGGCATGGAGCCACCACGCTGTCCCCCATCCAGGGGCACAACACCCCAGGCACCTCCGTGAGTGCAGCTATCCAAAAGCTCTCTGCACCCCATCTTTGGGGGTTTTATGGATGCTTTTTTACTTCATGATTGATTAAATGACTGGCTTCTGGTGACCAACACAACCTCTGACCCCTCTCCTTCCCCAGGGGCCACGGGGTGGGACTGAAAGCTCCACCTGAAATCACTCCTTGTTCTGGGTCCAGGACCACCACCCCCCCATCACCTCGTTAGCATATCAAAGGTGCATATCCCTGGAGAGTCCAAGGGTTGGAGGGCTGCTTCTCATGACAGGTGAGAGCCTGTGGAGACCCCTTGAGAGTACCATGGTCTCCACATGAAAACAACAGCAGGAAGGCCAGCCAATGGCGAAGCAGTTACATCACTGGACTCCCACATGGCTAACCAAGGTTCGAGTCCCAGACCTGGTGGGCTTGCTTTCTCACTTTCTCTCTCTCTCTCTCTGTCCTTCTCTGTCTCTCTGTGGTGAGCACATGTATGCCCTAT